GACTCCAAGGGCTGTCTAGTTACTTTTAACTCATAGTGACCCTATTTACAACAGAACCGAACACTGCCTGGTCCTACACTATCCTCACAATATTTGCTATGGTTGAGTGTATTGTCTTAGGTACTTTGTCAGTCCATCTTGTGAGGGTCTTCCACTTTTTTGCATGATGTCCTTTCTCCAGGAGCTGATAACATGTCCAAAGTACAGGAGACAGAGTATTGCTATCTTCACTTCGAAGGAGCATTCTGTGTATTCCTTCCATTGTCTTTGGATGCTTCCTGTGTTGGTCAATATTTTGCCCATAGACTCCTTCACTATATTAACAGGGAATTCCTTTGATATGATTAATGTTTTTATCTGTCTGATTATAGTTTGTTAAAGTTAATTTCTAAAATTATTATGAACTTAATGTCAACTAATAGTTTCTCACTATTAAAATTACAAACTTCTTTTCAAGTATTAGGTTGAAACGCTAACTCTTTTTACAGTCTAATTTAAAAGCAAAGGTTCCAAAAAATAAATAAATCCCTAAATCTAAAAAGCTATAAAATGTTTCAAAAGCCTTATTTACTATATTATAAATTACATAATACGTGTTTGTAAGACAAGAAAAGTGCCAAATTTTCTTTAGATTATATTCATATCAGTAATATTTATCTAATATTAGAAAACCAGCACATAATATTATGCCACAATTTCATTATTTCAATTATAAACTTGACAGCAACTTTGTTTCTTTTAAATTGAGCATAATCAACACCAATCCTTTAAACTACAGAATACATACTCTTTGCCCATAGTCTTATTCCTATTCTAGTGTGTGCCATCGAGTCAGTTCCAATGTACAGCGACCTTGTATAGAGTTTCCAAGAACAAGCAGTTAGTAGGTTTGAACTATCGACCATGTGGCTACCAGTACAGTACCAGTGTTTATCCTAGTCTTTATCCCTATTCCAATGTTTTGTTGTTGTTACATGCTATCTAGATGGTTCCAACCCCTAATGACCCTGTATAGGGTTTCTGAGGGGTGGCTAGTGAGCTTGATCTGCTAATCTTGCCGCTCAAACCAACTTTGCAGTTCAATGCATTAATCCACAGCGCCACACCAGGACTCCAATATAAAGACACTTAATAATCCTAGTATATTCTTGACATATCCAAACTGCTGAATATCATATTTCAAAATTATTATATTCAGAGATCTAAAACAGGAGAAAGATGAGGCTTTCTGCTCCTGTGAAGATTTAAAGCATCGAAAACCCTATACTGGGTTGATATTAGTCAGAACCAACTCAAAGGCATTTAACAACAACAAAAGTTCTCCAAAAAATATTTAGAGAGACTTTTTTTCTAAAGTTTTTATTGGCTTTATTTAGCTTTGTGTTACTTTTGAAATTCCAATCAAGTCTTCCACTTTTAACAACTGTTAAACCACTGAGTTTAAACTGTTAAACAAGTTTGTCATCTACTTTTCCATTCATTGAAAACACTTGACTTTTAAAAATATTCCATAAAAAATGGCGTATATAAAAATGATGAAAAGAATTATGACATTTCAAATGTCAATGAACTAAATCAGTATTTCTAAAATTTTCATCAAAAACTATTGAAGTTTTCAAACTGCTGTGGATCCATTATTATTTGGAACTAAAACTATGTAATGCTGAATATACAAAGGATTGCTATAAGGGTTACATAAAATAGAGTTAATGTTCTTTTTTCTAAGTATAAGAAACAATGCTTTTCCTCTTTCCCTTTTTTAATGTATTCCAGTTATTAAACTCTGTGCTGGCTACAGAATATTTTCCACAGATCCAAAAAGCTTTTGGCAAATAAAAATTAGACTCTCAGTGTCTGCCTAATATCACCCAGGAAAATATAAATATTGAAAAGGATATCAACAAAAAGATTAATTAAAATCTCACTGGAGAAAGTCTTACCTAAACCCTCCTTTTA